GCCGGGGCCGGGGCCGGGGCCGGGGCAGCGCGCGCACGTGGGCTCCTGGGCTGAGCCGGGGCAGCGGGGAGGAGAAGGGCTGCCCCGGTGCAACGCCGGTCCCCGTAGCCGAGCGCGGAGCCCCTATTTGACTTGATGCCTCACGGGTCTGGCCGCGCTGGAAGCGCTGGGAAATGCGAGGGGCCGGGCTGGGATTGTTTGAGTGCATCTGTCAGTACCTGAAGTGAAGCCACACTCCGGCGGCCGTACGAGTCCGGGGGAGAAGCGTAAGCTGGCACTGATACTCAGGTAGCGGATCCGTCTAGCTGCTGGGTCCTCCAGTGCAAGTTTGCATTGGGAAGGCAGCAGATGGAGGGGGCGGGGGGTGGCGTTTATGCAACATTTGGGACAAGGGGATCTGGCCTCGTTTAAATCAGTAGGATTTCCCGCTGCCGATTTCAAGAGAAGGCAAGATCGAGCCCCTGAGACTTAGTGGTGTCGGAGCAGTGGGAAGACAGGAAACGAGGAATTTTAGCCCTGGTCTGCAGTGCTCACTGACGTGTTGGAAGTTAAGGGAGGACTGTGGAGAAGAAGAGCTCTAAGGATCAGGCCTGTGACATGCTCAGGGAGACTGAAACAGCATTAGGCATTTCTTCAGTGAAAATGGCTATGCTGCAAGGAGAGTGGATTTGGCATTTACTTTCTGGATATCGTTTTCGTAACAGAATGCATGTAAGTTTTGGCCTAATTTCTGCCAAAAGTGGGCCTGCTGTGGGTACAATAACTGTTGTCACATGTGGTTTTTTCCTTTGAACTGATGATCTGAGCAAAATAACTCCTCTCCCCCACGACCACCACGGCCATGCGTGAAGAGTCCTACAAATTAACTGTAATCAATGCTCATTTCAGCTGAAATTCAGCACTGCCTGGTTAATGCTGGTGATGTGGGATGCGGAGTGTTTGAATGCTTCGAAAACAACTCTTGTGAGATCCGAGGCTTACATGAGATCTGCATGACTTTCCTACACAACGCTGGAAAATTCGATGCCCAGGTAACCAAAAGAAACATTGAAATCCCCAGAAGTGCATAAGGAAGAGTTTCTCTGTTTAATGTATAATTTAGTGAATTAGTTCAGATGCATCTTTGAAATCAGGTTTTCATTAAGGACTAGATCTGCGCTCTCGCATGTTCAGTTTGCATTTTCTTCATAGTGAGTTACATGTATGCAACCAAAGCTTGGAGCCTGCTCCCATTCAGCTCAATGGAAAAACTCCTATTGACTTAAATGGTGATGAATCAAGCCCCAAGAGCTGAGTAATATATGCACACTGTTTAACTAGTCCTAGGAAACAGAATCTCTCTCATACTGAGCTGCACCTCCAGCAGAGAATTTTTTCTTAGGTGCCCTGGGTAACAAACTTGGAGATATTCAGAATAATCAATAGTTCCTTGCAGCCCTCACCCAAGAGAAAGCCTGTTAAGGACTGTAGGACTGAGCTCATTGACATTAATGGGCATTCTGCCAAATGCTCTGAAATACTGTTAAGCTCTTCAGGGTAGAGAAATTATTGTATGTCCCTTTATTTCTTAAGTGCCCCTTGCATCTATGATGATAAAACAACTTCTGTGTCTATATACAGTCTAGATGTCACACCTTAACTTTCCCTTTTGACAGAGCTGATCAAACTAACTCCGCTGAGAGACAGATTGTGTTTTCCAAAACATCTAAGAGACTGAGGCTCTGAAGTCCCATTTCCAGAAGTCGAGCATTTGAAACCTAACATAGGCTCATAAGTCATTTAAGCATTTCTTAAAATTGTATCCAAAGTGCAGTTGTTAAATTGCTGCAAAAATTGCACAGAACCAGCTTAGGCATCTCCCAAAAGCTGCATTTGTGTAATCCTCTGGTTCAAATACATTCTTTAGGTGGTATGCGGTATTAAATTTGTCTCCATTTTCTCCCTAGACCATTTATGCATCACTGAAGCATCCTGTTATTATGTCTTGTAAACCTACTCTCCCATTTCAGTGGGGAGAGAAGAGAACATTACAACGGGCCAGCGGCATTTGGCTTGACCATGCAGTTTATAGTATAACTTAACTAAAGTCATCAACCGTACGCACTTTCTATAGTGTGGTAGAAAACAGAGCTGTCTTGCAGATCTAGCCATGCCATGTAGCTGGGCAGTGGCACCAGCCTAGTAGAAAAGAATGCCCCAGACCTGGAAATTGTAGGCTGTAATTTGCAGAAACATGTAAGGGGTCAGGGATATTGATTAAAACTGGGGACTTTGGCCATATTTAAAAAAAGAAAAAAAAAATCTCAGCCTTAGGGCACTTTTACACATGCTCCCAGGTATGAGAGCAGGGGGCAGCATTTTAATTACAGTGGCTCCAAGAACTGCTCTAATTAAAGTGCTGCCGCATCTCATGTATCAGTGTCCCCTTGCTTAAAAATGGCAGTGAGGGCACTTGAAGTAAAGCTCATTGAATGAGCTTTAGTTCTAGCACCCCCGCCGCCATTTTTAAGTATGGGGACACTGATACAAGGCACAGGAAGCTGCTGGGGCGCGGTGATTGCCACCCTCCAACATGCTAGAATTTCACATGACTGCGTTGCACAGAATAGGTATTATCAACAAATACAGAGTTTGTAGATGTAGCAACCAGTCATGTTTGTAGAAATAATGCAAAACTGTCAGCAAACAATTTTGCCATTGGATACCCAAATATCTTTAAAAGGGAACAAGGGCTATTTTGCATGCAGTTTTTTCCTACTATAGTGCAAAAGCACTGAGCAACATGGGGGCAAATTGTCTCCTCACATGCCCCAATGCAATTCCCACTAACTTTATTCTCTTTAATTTCTTAAACAAGTTCCCTCAGTACAGTATTTGAGCATCTCCCAAAAGCACAACATATACACCATGTCTAGAATTTGTCGCATGATTCTCCTTTCCCTCTGCATTCTGTCTCCAAAGAGAAAATTGTGTCACATCTGGGAGTATTATGAGTTATGTACATATTTAACATCTGCTGTGCTATATGTTGATTATATACATGCAGTGCTTGGAAGGGAAAGAAGCCATGTCTGAGGTAGCTCTAGCATCAAGGGAAATGTGTGCAGCTGAAAGAACTTGGGAGCTAACAGCGGCTCTCAGATACACCTGATGCTACAAATCCCTCAGTTGATTACAATGGAGTTACACAAGTTTCGATCCAAAGTGAATGAATACGAAGACTGCCCCATCTGATTCATAGATAACAAAATGTTCCACAGCTAGGTTAGGCTGAGGCTGCTTAAAAAAGAAGGCAACATGGCAGCAGTACCACACACCTGCCATTCAAGAAGAAAAGCTGAGTATAGTCACCAAGAGAATGATAATATACATGCCCTGTGAATCGCTTTGTGATCTAATGGCAGAAAGGGGCACTGAAAGAAGGCATCACCAAAGACTCTGAAAAGGACATGATCTTAGTCTCCCACATTGTCTTTAATATAAGTTTCTTGTTGTCTATAATCCCTTTTGGAAGCTTAAAGCTGCAGTGTTCTCCTTCTGTAAGACACAGACATCAACAGGTTTGCTCACGAGAGTTGGCTGTTAGAATTGATTTGGGATTCTTTTCTGTTGTAGAGTTGTGAGAGAGGGGAGAAGAAAACATTGATGCCTGTTTTTCCTCCAGTGGAATAAAGGGTCTTTATTAACCACTTAACCACTTCATAAAGATATGTTTGAAAGTTATGGGCTGGGTTGTCCTGGCGATTCCAAATATACTGGGACTCTTCCCTGGAGAATGAGAGACCATTAAGCTGGGGGCTATGTTGTCTGGAAAGAAGGTTTCTCTCTCTCTCTCTCTCCCTCTCTCTCTCTGTCTCTCTCCCCAAGGTTAGCAAGAGCTGGCATTGCTGTAGAGACAAGCCACTCAGCTAGTGGATGGAAGCAATGAAACATTTTGCATGACCACTGAGAGAACCCCATGCAAGTAGCTCAGGAGCCGCATCCAATCCTACTAGAAGAGTAGGACAGAACAACCTGACATGGCCTTTAGAGACCAAGAAATAAAAAGAAGAGGAAGGGAAAAGTCATTAACAAATATCCTTAGCAGCCTAATAACCCTTGACATGGTCATGTGAAGGAAAAACTAGTTGAGCATAAATCACCTTGTGTGCTTAATGGACAAAAGTACAGATCTACTCCATTCCTTTCCTTCACAGGGAAAATCATTCATCAAAGATGCTCTGAAGTGTAAGGCTCATGCCTTGAGGCATAAATTCAGCTGTATCAGCCGTAAATGCCCTGCCATTAAAGAGATGGTGTTCCAGTTACAGCGGGAATGCTACCTGAAGCACGACCTCTGCTCAGCTGCCAAGGAGAACGTCCAAGTCATTGTGGAAATGATTCACTTTAAAGACCTGCTGCAGCATGAGTAAGTACAAGTATACAGGGAGCCTAGTCCTGTATCTAGTCTACCTACCCTAGTCCTGGGTCTTGGAGGAATCCTATTAGAAAGATACAAGCCACGTCTATACAAGCCATGTCTGGGTGGGACAAGCCTGGGACCATCGCTGAGAAACAAAACCCACCTGCTCTCTCCCATTCCAATCACCCAGCAATCAGTATTAATCAGAATACCTCTGACCATGGAAATAGAAGAAACAGGTTAAAGTTGGGATCTATCTTTTTTTACAGTTTCTTTGCAAATATGACACTAGTATTTACTCTTTTCGTAATATACCAAGTGCTTTCCAGACTCAAAGTTTGCTTGGTCCTTATCCTAAAGATCTTGTATTTTAATAGATAATGCAGATGGAGAAAAGGAGTAAAATAAGTGAAGTAGGCAAGGACACATTTGCACTAGGTAATATTTTGACAACAATTATTTTCTTTTGTAAATATACATCAAAGTATCTACAGGTGCCACTGAAATAATAATGTCCTGGACTTCACTCAGAGCCATCAATATCAACCTTTTATGCTTGCCAAGGAGATGGATAGCAGCATAAATGCATATAAAACAATACACAAGACCATTTTTTTCCAATAGCTCCTTTCCCCTTTGGGGAGTGCAGATGTCACCCTTTTTGACTGGCAACTACAAGTTTTTGCAGACATTTTCTAAACTGCTAAAATGCAATAATAAATCAAGTACAAATTAGAGACAGACTAGGTTTTTAATTCCACTCATGTCCCATCCCACAGATATGTCTTCTCCCACCACCTCCCTTTTCTCCCCTGTCATTCTAACTTGCAACTCTGATTGTCATTTAAGAAAACTGATCAAAGTAATCACATGAGATCCACAGCAGTTGATTTAAACATTTGATATTTAGAAATAAAAAAATTTCTCTT